CTTGTGTATGAATGATAATTAATTTTCTGTTAATAGGAAGATAATTGATTAGCATGAACATCTATTGATTATCAACCTCATATGATATGTGACCACTATACCATATGTCTAGAATTAATGAATATGAAACTAGGATTAATAAGGAATTTGAGTAAATTCATGTGCAAGCTTGTAAGATGACCATCAAACAAGAGGTTAATTAAGAATAATGAATTAATTAGCTATTGCAAGTCTAACTTAACCCGAATAATTAATCTAGTAAATATAATTAAATTAAGCAATTGGCCACTGTTTGAATTAGTTTATTTGCTAAGGATTAGGGTAGTGAACATAAACCTAATCACTTGAATCGATAACCAACGAAAGAATTAATCCATTGCACTACTACCTTAAAATCAACCATAAAGTTAACCGAGTTGAACTAAACAGAAGTTCCTTTCCCATTATTGAATCTAGTTAAATTGTCATTTTCTAGTCTTAAATTAGTTTTAGTTAGTAAGTTTCTAGTCTTGTAAAACTAGAGAAAAACCCTTTTTTGCTTAATCAACTTAGATAGAATTAGTTTTCAATTTAATTTGCCGTTCCCTGTGTTCGATACCCTGCTTATTTAGCTATACCACAATTGATAGGTTCACTTCCTTTTGTGTGTTATTTGATAATTAAAGTAGGATTAAAACTAAGTGAGTTTTACACACATCAATGACTCTCGTAGGTGAGGTTCGGTCGTTCCTTTTACTCTTTGATGTATTGGTGCTTTGTCTAGTCCGATCTAATCAGAGTAGGTGGATTTGACAACACATGGTTTATATGAATAAGTACAGTCCAATGTCATTTGCCGCATACCAATAACATCGGACTAGGGGACTTGATGATATATGGTCCATTAACATTACCTATACAACTCTGGTGCACCAGCCTTGCCTGGCGCTCCCTTGCCAGCCTTGTCAGGGACTTTCCTACTGGCCCGACCTGTCACTCCTTTACCTGGCGCTCCCTTGCCGTCATTTTCTAGTGCGCGCCCGCCAACCCCGCGCGACGCCTTTGGGCGGCCTTGCCCAACTCCTTGGTAGTTGGACCTGAATTGGGCTGGCCCATGGCTTGACCTACTTGTCCACTATAAATAGAATAGTGCATCCTCCAAGGAGGGGGACTCTTTCCCCTTGGCTCAACCGCCACCCTATACACTGGTCAGGTGGCTCAGCCACCACCTGCCACCGTCAGCCGCCATACACGACCACCAGCAGCACCAAGATTGTTCTCTCCAGCTAAGAAGAATCATCTCATATCTACCAGCTGATCTAACTTGATCGTCGGAGTCTACTCCCGGGACATAGTCCATGGGGAGGCTCTAACGACCTTGTCTGTTGTCACCTTGCAGATTCATCTCCGACGTGGAAGAACATCCCCAAAAGAATCGTCGGAGTTCTATGTCACATCACATGTAAAAACAATTTAAAAATGTAAAGTAAAAAAATTGTAACGTCGTAATTTTCAACCCAAAATTTTCATTTTAAAATAAGATAAATACTCATTTTCATAAAATCACAATCAAGTCGGAAACACTTATTCATAAAACCATAATCCAAAAATTCAAGATTACAGTATAAATAAAATCATCACAGAAGTGTCAAAACATAAAGGTTGTTGATGTATGCTTACAATCATTCCCTAGCCTTCCCATGATCAAAAGAAGTACCTGAAAAACATTTAATCTACAATTATAAGCACAAATCTTAATGAGTACCTCAAAATACAACATAACATGGAGAATGTTATGATCCCACCATAGTCTTACAATCACTTCCATTTTTGTAGTCTCATTGTAGTCCTTCCTGTTATCCCCCCGCCCCCATAATCTTTCATGCAAGTGTTATGGTCCTCTATAGTCTTCATACAAGTGTTATGGTCCCCTTTAGTCTTTCATGCAATAGTCATAAAGACAATATATCATAACATGACACCTAGTGTCGTATATAATATAGTGAGAAGGCTCACCTGAATCAAACACTTAAGAATCACATTTACAATACTGAATTTTGCAAGAAACAGTCTCACAGACTACATAACATTAAATTCAAGTCTAAACTCAATCTACAACTCAAAATCCAGCAAGTTTGACCAAAACTCAAACTTGGTTAAAAGTCGGTAGTCAACGGTTAACGACTATTGCACCGTGAACACAAGATGAAAAAAGAAACGAAAAATACTCAAATGTCATGCCGTGATCATAAGCCCTTTGCGTTGTGAAATTTGACTTAACAAATTTTCTTGTTAAAGTCCTTAATCCTTCCAGCTAAGCAATAACCCTTTTAGATCTAGATCTCCTAAAAATATTAATGGATAAAGTTTTCAACTTCATTTAGATCTAAGTCACAAAATTCTCAATTTTCAAAACCTAACTCTAAAAGGGACTTAATGAACAAAAATCCCATGCATGGCTTAATGAAAATGTACGAGCTCCTTTCCACCTTCTAAATGTCCAAAAAGCTATCTAAATCATTTCAAAGGTTCTGGAGTCCTTCCAACTCCAAGTACACAATGAAAAAGAGGCATAAAGGGACCAAAACACCAACCAACATTAGATCTATAAATGAAAGCACATAAAGCTTAGATATTTGAAACTTACAAAGGTTCAAAGATGATATGAAGGTTGAAAATCCTTCCAAGAGCAATTTTCTTTCCTTTCTTCACTCTACTGCATTAAAAGAACACCAATACTGATATTTGGAGAGAGAGAATGAGCTTTAATACTTCAAGAGAGTTTAGCCTTTCGTTAAAGGTGCTCAAGGAGGAGATGGAGGCTGCAAATGATGAAGTGCTACATTTAATGCCCTTAAATAGGTCCATATCCTCAGGCCTAAGTCCTAAGCCCAATCAACGAGAGTTGTACTGCAAGTCTCAAAAGTCGCGGTGCGACCCATATCATTTCATAAATCTTATTAATTCCATCGTGATTTGTTCATTGCTTCAACCTTCCTTGGACATAAAAAATCAATAATCAAAGAAGGAAAATCACAATAGGAACTTGAGTATTAAAAAAACTAGTTTATAACCCGTGGAAACCACGTTTATAAAATTTATTAAAATTTTATAGTAAAAACTTAAAATTATTAATCAATTATTTTAAATAAATTATTTTAAATATATTAGTAATTAAGATATTTTTTATTTATATAGAATTATAATCATTCATTTAAATAAATATGTGAAATATATCATTTTATAATTTATATTAATTTTTATTCGACAAAAATGCAAAAATGGTCCCTGTGGTTTGTCCTTTTTTGTGGATATGGTCCAAACCTTTTAAAAATTGGATTTCTGGTCCTTATTGAAAGGTTTGTTTGTGGAACAAGTCCCTGGGGTTAACAGCCGTTTGTTTGTGGCTATTAAACCCCTCACGTGCATTGCACACGAGGGCATACATGTCTTTTTACTTGAGGGACCATTTTTACAATTCTTGAAATAATATATAAAGACTTCCCCAACGTTCAAGTTCTTCCCCAAACGTTGTTCTGCAACTTTCAAGTTGTTCTTCATTCTCTCTTCCATCTCTCATCTCTCTTTGTTAACAGTCGGGGTGTCAGTTAATCACACGATGGTTCTCTGTTTTTGTGGTAAGTTTATTGTTGTTAAATGCTCATGGACACCGAAGAACCTAGGTAGACGTTTCTATGCTTGCCCTCAAAAGGTAAAGAAATTCGTTTGCACCCATTTGATTTGTAATCAAATAACATTTGTTATTTTCCCCTTTTTGAAGGATTTTGCTTGTCGCTTCATCGGATGGGTTGATCCCCCCATGTGTGAAAGGTCTAAAGTCATTATTCCTAGACTATTGAGAAATATTAACCGAATGCAAGCTTGGTGTACAGCTCTAAAGATCATGTTGCTGGCTAGTTGGGTGTTTTTTGTGATTCTGTTCATAAGGTCTGTTTAGGTTTAGTTAATAGGTCAATGGGGTGGGTTTTTATTTGTTGAAGATCGATAAAAGTGTGGTTTTTTGGTGGATTAATGGTTTTTGGTACTTTGACCTAGGTTCTTTGTAGTTGTTTGTAAGGTCAAAGTAAGTTGTTTATGTAGTAAATGACTTCCTGATATAAATATGAATTTTATGGAATTGCTTATGTTGTTTGTAAGGTTATTTGTAGTTTTTGCTTATGGAATTGCTTATGTTGTTTGTAAGGTTCTTTGTATGAATTCCAATCAGTTGGTTGTACTTAACAACTGCTTTTTGTCCCAGCTTCTCATTTTCCAAATCTTCATTTTCTTCATCATCAAAGTCAATGGCAAGAAATTCGGACAACTGTTGATTTTTGTCTTGCTTTGACAAAAATGAATTTTATGGAATTGCTTATGTTGTTTGTAAGGTTCTTTGTAGTTTTTGTAAGGTGAAAGAAAGGTTAATGTGAATAATTGACTGTAATGGTTATAATAAACAATAATAACCAAAAACCATAATAACCAAGGCTGCAATTACATAATAGACTACAAACATATAGTGCAATTACATTATCCCAAAATATGCAACCATATAGACTAATACTTATCATACTAATGAAAACCAAAATAATCATAAGTCATAAGTTTTTTTAACATCAAAACACTTCCAAAAGTAGCAAATAACATCTGCCAAAACAAACACAACCTTGATCTTCAACTTCCACCTAACTTCCACCTCCTTGACCTTTACATGTCCTTGAGTTGTGACCTTTGTTTTTGCATTTTGCACATGTTACACTGACATATTTCCTTGTTAATTTTTGAACTCCATCAGGACCCACTTTACAACCTTCTTCCTGACTTACACCATGAGTACCAGTCTGACTTTGACTCCCTCTTTGACTCTGACTCAATTTTTCATCCTCACTTTTCTTCCTCTTCTTTGTAGGCCTACCTATTTGCTTATGATGAATTGGAGGGATAAGTGTTGTGGGACACAAACTTTTAGGCCACATTATTCTTCCTTTTATGGGCTCTACCTTATAGGAATATGCATTCTTTCATGTATCCAACCAATATACCTTTTTGACCCACCTGTAAATGTCACCAACATCCTCTGAGTTCTTGGTCATTTCATAAAGGGTTGCAATGACATGTTTACATGGGATGCCTATTAGCTCCCACTTCCTGCAAGTACATGTGTTGTTCCTAACATCTACAACATGTTGGTCTTGCCATGCCCCAGTGACTTGGTATTTCTCACCCCCATTCCACCTAGCAATGTAATGTGATGCATGAGACTTGTTTACATCCAATATGGTTGTTGCAGTGGGTGTTAAAGGCCCTTTTGCCTTGTCCATCACCTTCATAACATTACAGATTCTCTTCATCAGGTATTGTCTAATATACTCCAAACAACCTATGATAGGCTTATCTCTTCCCTTTATTATCTTGCTGTTAAATACCTCACAAAGGTTGTTTAACAGTATATCAGAGATTGCTCTGCCTGTTAAAAAAATTAACATATTCTTTTAAGTACAAGTACACATTTAACATGTAGTAATTTTTGGTAATTTATGTACCTGTAAAATGGCTTCTTGCCCAGTGTTTTGGAGGAATCTTTCTAAGCCATTCACATGCCTCCTTGTCATAGTTGCTAAATTCTTTCATGCAATGCTCAAATTCAGGTACAGTGGTTGCAGTTGCACATCTCCATAAATGATCCTTGTACTCTTTTAATTTCCATTTCACTCTCATGTTCTGATGTATGTGCCTGAGACAATACCTATGCTCAGCACATGGGAATAGTTGGGCTATTGCTGGTATTAAACCCTAGAACAATAACAAAAATTAAGTATTTAGTTTATATAATAATAAGTAATTAATAATACAAGTTAGAAAGAGATACCTTTTGTCGATCTGTGATAAAAGTAAAGTTAGAGTTTGAACCAAGATCCAAGTCTTCTCCTAAACACTGCAAGAACCATACCCAACTACTTTTGTTCTCTGTCTCAACAATGGCATAAGCAAGGGGGTAAATACCATTGTTAGAGTCCAACCCAACTGCTGTTAGAACCTACCCAGGAAATGGTCCTTTCATATGCGCACCATCGAAACCCAAAAGATCCCTGAGGCCAGCCTTAAAACCTTTTTTCAGGGGACCTAAGAAAATGTAGATTCTTTTAAACATCCTCGTTGGGTTTGATGGGTTTTGTTCACTGTAAACATCAATCTTGATAGTTGTGTCAACATTGGTTGCTTGCAATTCAAGGACATAGTCCCTCAAGATCTCATATTGTTTCGTATAGTCACCCTCCACGGTCTTAGTAGCAATAGCCTTGGCCCTGAATACTTTGTCAATAGAAATACCTACCTCGAAGTCCTTTTGAAGTTGTTCCTGCAATGCTCGAAGAGGAATCCCTGGATTCGTGTCGATTTGGTCCATGATTCGCTTGGATATAAAAGTAGCAGTGCAAGCTCTAATCTTCCTACTTTGAAGGCAAGTATGGTTGTCATTTAATGTCCTTACAAACCAGGGAGATTCTGTGTTTGACCTAGAAGCATGAAGGAACCAACTACAGTTTACTTTTTCTGAATTTACCTCTTTGCCCTTGGTTTTATTTTTGGGATTAAGGCCAACCACCCCACTTGCATTGATGAAAGGGACTACACCTCTACACAATGCTCGAAGTCTAATCTTGTCATTCTTTTTATAATATAAATTCCTCCTAGTTTCTAGTGTGTGCATGTCAATTTTTTCTTTCAATTCTTTCTTTGATTTAAACTTTTGCCCAACATAAAAACTGGCCTTATGGACATTGCCAAGACTACATCTTTTCTCCTTAGCTAGATTTTTAAGAACACATCTTCTTTTCCTTTCATCTTCTGACCCTTCATCTAAAGAATCCCATCTATCATTGTCAATGACTTCTATGTCCTCATGTTCATCATTTGTCCCAACCCCGTTATGCAACCCATCCATTTGAACACAACCATAATCCTTATCAAGATTGAGGTTAAAGTCAGTCATATCCACCTCCACTTCTGATACATTGTTTTCATTATCAACAAGTTCATTATATTGTTCTTCTGATTGTTGCCTAAGATCATCACTGTCAGCAGACTTTTCATGTTCAGACTGATGGTCTTCAACATTCTCATCTTCTGGTGGTTGATAATGTTCTCCATCAAAAGGATCAAAGTGATCATGAGAAAAGTTCTCATAATGAAATTCATCATAATCAAAGTTATCATGGTCACCACCTTGATCTTGTACCACATCATCCATGTTAGCATGCTCAACCTCTTGATCTTGAACCACATCATTCATGTTAGCATGCTCACCAGCTTGATCTTGTACCACATCATCTAATTTAGGATTCTCACCACCTTGATCTTGTACAACATCATCCAATTTAGCATGATCACCACCTTGATCTTCTACTACATCATCCAATTCAACTAAACAAAGCTTTTTGGCACAAGAACTTTGACCAACTATTGAGTTCACCCTTCCATTTCTTCTATACTGTGGTGAAACTTTTGTAGGGACTTTATCAAAGAGTATCAAGGACATATACCCTGCCACTGTGTTTGATCATTAGCTTCATCTATCATTGGGGTTTTATCCTTTGCTGGTACTTGAGGTACATTTGCTTCTTTTGGAAGATCACCATCACAGAGCTCCTTAATAATAACTTTTTGCTTTCCTTTTGGAGACATAAAATAGGTCAGCAAATTAGTTTTTCCATGTTCTGTATACACTTCAATGACCTTGTTATCTCTAATATACTGAGCCAAATTCAAGACATCATTATCATTCCCTAGAGCTCTGTGGCCAAAATCCAAGTCTTCATGAGGAATCCTAAAATGGTAATATATTACTGGGGGGTACAGAGTAACCTAGCTCTAGCATCATTGCGTCTAGTTCATGAACTGAGAACTCATCAATGTCTACTAAATCAATATATCGCACTTCACCTTTAACATATTTCGTGTTTGGAAGCTTCGTAAAATTTCCACCATGGTGTAGCTTTATGCTGAACATTGTTGGTACACGCTCTACAAGATACAAAAAACATTAAGTAAGAAATTATCAGATGTTTGTATTTTTGGCTCTGTTCTTCAAATCATCAAGAAACCTAACACAATTTCGTAAACAGAGGATAAGTGAAACTAACCATATTCATTTGTGATGTCATACGTCTCGCCTTTTGGCCTAATCGCCCACATTACGAACACCATTTACAGTTGAAAAGCAAAAACAAGTAAACACCTTGGACCAAATCTTGATTAGGGTTTTTGCGTTCAAAACGAATGACGAAGAAGATGGAAGTGGAAGAGATAACTAAATATTTTGTGATTTTGTGTGTAATATGGTGCTAAGACTGTAACAAGCGGGTTTATTTCAGGAATTGTAAAAATGGTCCCTCAACTAAAAAGACATTTATGCCCTCGTGTGCAATGCACATGAGGGGTTTAACAGCCACAAACAAACAGCTGTTAACCCTAGGGACTTGTTCCACAAACAAACCTTTCAATAAGGACCAGGAATCCAATTTTTAAAAGGTTTGGACCATATCCACAAAAAATGTCAAACCATAGGGACCATTTTTGCATTTTTGTCTTTTTATTCTATTGTTATTAATTTAACTTAATAGGGTGACAAGTTCAAATTTTGAAATTTGAAATGAAGAATCATTATGTTGACAAATGACATGCATTAATTGAAATGAATAATAGGATGATACATGACAAAAAATTAATAAAATATGCATTAATTAGGAAGCTAATAAGGTGACACATGTCAAATGGAGAATAAAACTATTCTTTTATTAGAATATGGAGATATAGAGATTATCGAAACACATTTAAAGGACCTTAGATAACCAAAGAAAATGATTCAGTGACCTTAGAAATCAAAAAAAAAAAAAAAATGGAAACTTGCCATTATCGACTAAATTGATTAAAACAAACAAATTTTAGTAACATTTTAAATCTTGAAAACATTTTAATAACTAAATAAAAACAATAAATTAGGTTAATGACTGATTTTGATCTCACTTCATAATAAAATATCATATCATTTTGTATATCAGACAAATTGAAAGATAAACCAACTTTTATCTAAATTCAACTTACCTTCACTTTGTAGGGATCATCACCTGTAAACTTTCTATTTGTCAGAAACCATTTTTGTAACTTTTTTTAAAAACATCGACTTTTTATGTAGAAAAAAACTACATAGTGACGTTTTCTGTAAATTACAAAGACAATTTCTAAATTTTATTTTATACATAGGGATCAAAACCTACCAACATACTAATATCTTAAAAATATTGATTGTTTCTATAAAATAAAAATGCACATAGACCTTTTTTGTAAGTTATAAAGATAGTTTTTATAATTTATTTTCTAAAAAAAAACCACACCTGTCGAACATATAAAAATACTAAACATATAAAGATTTTTTGAGAAAATATACACACAGACTTTGTATTTTACATAAACATAAGTACCAAAGTGCCCATATAAAAACAATTGTGGCCAAAATATAATATATAAAAATATTAGGGCGATTGAAGCTAGTTTTTATAATAATTTTATTACCTAATACATTGACCTCAAAGTCAAAAGCACAACACTTCTCGGCATATTTGGTGGTGTGTTAATTTTAGGCAAAACCCATATTTTAAGGTACAACAAGAATCTTTTTATGTTTGAACATATTAATGTTAATTGCTTAGAATATTGTTCGTAGGTCATATGACATGAAAGTATAGCAACAAGATTTTGAAAATAGATAAAAGTTATTCGTGGGCAAAAAATTATTTGTGGGAAAATATCATTGTAGCATAATCAAGTTTTAAGTAATAAGTTATTAAAGCTTTATTTTACCTGATAAATATGGGAAAGATGTAATATTATCTAGTTTTATATATTTTTTTAATTTAAAAATAAATACGTGGCTTTTTTCTCTAAATTAAAACAAAATCCCACCACGACACTATGAACACTAAAAACTATGTCTTCTTTCCAACCCATTGTCTATCTTCTAGCAAATCTTGCTAAAGAAAACCCTCAGTCAGTCATCGCTTGTTGTCGATGTGATTCAACCATCATCTTTATCTTATGGGTTATGTTTAGCTCCACCACCCCATTTCATTTCTTTTGCAGTGTTTGATCGAAACAAAAAAAAAATATTGTTTGGAGTTATATACGCAACTGTCATTCCACAAACCAAATCCCCTAAAAAACAACTACAGCGTAACCAGCCTTTGTTATGCTAAATGCGCTTAAACCTGTTTAATCTCCGTGACATGAAGATAACCGATCGATTATATCTTTGATTTGTAATTCACTTGGAATGACACCTATGTTTGGTTCGCTAGAATTGGAAGGAATCAGAATGAATTGAAATTTAATTTCATCACTTTCCTATGTTTGGTTCAAGTTTTGAGAAGGAATTTGATTCATACATGTGTCCAACTTTCCTTCCATTGAGGGAAAACAAATTTCATCTAAAAGATAAGGAAATTCAAATTCCTTCAAGTGAAAATGTTGAAGATTACCATATTATCATTTTCATTTTTAACATTAAATATGAAAAACCTCTGTCACTACTCTTGACCACCTCCACTACTACCCATCATCTCTACTGCTATCCACCACCTCCACTACCACCCACCATTACCATCTCGGCCACTCACCCACCCACTACCACTACCAACATATGCCTTTCCAGGCCCTGACCTTCCGGTCCATGTATCTCAAAGGACTTTCGTCCCGACTCGGTAAACCTTCCGGTCCTACCTGCGTCAACCTTACGGTCCACATCACAACGCCTTCCGGCCCATAACATATACGCCTTCCGGCCCATATCAAGCATATCACACATAGCACATATAAACGATTAACTTGTCATATACAATGCATATAACTTATAACATATCCGACCTTCCGGTCACCGAATAAAAAAACCCTTCCGGGTACAGTATAGTGAGAAAACTCACCTCGTGGAAAGTCTAGAATCTCACGTACTCGCTATCTTCAAATCCCAACGAAGACTCAATCTCGCCTAATCATCACAAATATCATTTTAATTAATATAGACTTCCACGACTAGACTTTACCCCTTATCATCATTCCTCAGAGGGTAAAAGACCATTTTACCCTTCCTTGACTCAAAGTCTACGTGTTGACCAAAACCCTAAAAGTCAACAAAAGTCAACCTTTCGAGTACACGGGGCGTACATCGCCAACGCAAGAATCGGGGTCTTCACCCATTACGTTGCGCGTACTGGGATTTACGCCCAACGTAACCATCAGACTAAAGCTTTCATCATTTCTGGTTTTAATCGGTTAAGCCACTACTTCAACTTCTAGATCTGGCTTTATTTAAGCATCTTTACTCATAAAGTTGAAACCTTTAAGCCTTGGCATGGCTGTAAAGGCTCTTACACTCCTTAACACCTTTCCATTTCAACTCAAGGACATAGATCTCATGCATGGCCAAACATTCACGCCCAAGATTACATTTTTATGAATCTAAAACTCAAATACACCAGAAATATGATGGATCTAAGCTAATGGAGACCATTTGCTCATAAAGTCTCCACCTTTTGGGACCAAAACCCTAAAATATGGTCCATAAAGCATATCACAAGAACTATATGTCAAGATCCAAGCTTTTTACCTTAGAATGAAGCTCCAACCTTTGTAAAGCCCGGATCTACACTTGAACACCAACTTCTAGCTTTCCATATGAACTCTTCTTCTTATTTGCTACCTTGAAATGGCACCACCAAGCTTAGAACACTCACAAATGGGCTAAGAACGAATAAACACTCTCTTAGGGTTTCTTTCTGAAGGATGGTGGCTGAGGAGTCGAGCCAACACATCCCTTTTATAGCCAACCCATCAATTAGGGTTTTTAATTATGGACCGGTTACACCCAACGTAACCTTGGGTACGCCCAACGTACCCGAGGGGGAACGCGTATAAATGAAGCACGCGAGTACGCGCAGCGTACTCCTTGTACGCCCAGCGTACTCGCTCATCATGCAAAACCCTAAATGGCTTAAATTAAAAAATGAAGGCTTAAATAAAAAGGTACCTGGATTTCGGGTTGTTACAATTCTCCCCCACTAGAACCAGACTTCGTCCCCGAAGTCTCACACTGAAAACAATTTCGGATACTGATCCCGCATCTCAGACTCGGACTCCAATGTCAACTCGGACCCCTTCCGATGTTGGCACTGCACTTGTACCAAGGGTACTTCCTTGTTCCTCAGAACCTTAACCTTTCGATCCCTGATCGCCGCTAGTCTCTCAACATAGTTTAGGCCTGCATCCACCTAAATATCATCTAATGGCACCACTGTCGACTCGTCGGCAATACATTTCCTCAACTGCGAGACATGAAAGGCGTCGTGGATTTGTCCCAACTCAGCAGGTAGATCCAACCGGTAGGCCACCCTGCCTACCCTAGCGATTACCCTGAAAGGTCCAATATATCGGGGTCCCAACTTACCCCTCTTCCTGAATCGTATCACTCCTTTCCAAGGAGAGACCTTTAGGAGCACAAGGTCACCAACCTGAAACTCAAGCTCGGACTGACGCCTGTCCGCATAACTCTTCTGACGACTCAACGCGGTCAATAATCTCTGCATGACCTGCTATATCTGCTCAGTTGTCTGAAGTACAATCTCCGTGCTACCCATTACCCGTTGCCCCACCTCTCCCCAGCAGATGGGGGTGCAACACCTCCTCCCATACAACAGCTCAAAGGGTGGCATACCAATGCTCGAATGATGGCTGTTGTTGTACGAAAACTCTGCTAAGGGTAAATAGGTGTCCTAACTCCCTCCAAAATCCAAAACACAAGCTCGGAGCATATCCTCAAGCGTCTGAATCGTCCGCTCGCTCTGTCCGTCCGTCTGCGGGTGGTATGCGATACTAAAATGCAGCCTCGTACCCAACTCCTCATGAAACTTCTTCCAAAACCTAGAAGTAAATCGTACATCCCGATCTGAAACGATCAACATCGGAACCCCATGCCATGATACCACCTCCCTCACATATAACTCTGCCAACTTCTCCACAGAAGAGCTCTCACTGATAGCTAGAAAATAAGTGCTCTTCATTAATCTATCCACAATCACCCAAATTGCATCGACCCCTCTCGCAGTCCTTGGCAACTTGGTGATAAAATCCATGGTAATCTGTTCCCACTTCCATTCGGC